GTGCTCTTGAGTCTAGACAAATGCCATGCCTCTCGTATGGGCAATCCATCTCTTCTTTGGTCTGTACTATGCAAAAAAACAGAATGAAGAGTACTGAGACTGATTTAAAATGTGAAAGCTCTCTGTATAGGCAGCAAAATTATGGACAGCTCTATTTGAAAGTAAAACAGTCACTCACATACAAAAAAAAATAGGGGTGGTCAAAATGCAGAATTAGAACAGCAACTATCATGAGATTTTGCAAGTCTGAACATTCCTTTTAATTTTTAAATATCATGTGATAAGTGCCATGACTACGTTTGCTGATATTGTCAGGAGACCAGGAGAGTGTCAGGGAACCTGGCTTGTCTATAATTGCCATCATTTTAAAATTCACGTTGTGATACATTTAGTTTTTTCGGCAGGATCACTTTTCACAACTTCAAGTCCTGAGCCTACCCTACACTGTCATTATATAGAGAGCTGTTTGGATGCAATTCCATTCTTTTCTTCTCTCTTAGTTACTTCATGGATAGATCTGCATCTTCCCATTACTTGAATACATTCTAATTCAGAATTACATTTTTTTCTAATCGTTTCTTCCCATGTTTGTCATCAATGTCAGTCATTCTTTCTTGGGTATTAACATATTTGAGTTTGCATGTAAATTGGGTAATCACTGGTAATTTAGAAATGAATTAGAATGAACTTAATGTGTCGCTGGGATTCAGAAATGGTTTTAGCTTTAGGGCTGTGTTAATGCCTGACTAAGACGTGTTAGGGAAAAAAATACAATTTAGAAATTAAATTAACAAATAATGGTGCAGTATGGTCAGGAACGAGTTGTGAAGCAGCCAAAAAAATATACACAAATAAAAAGTTTTTATACTGTTTTTTTATTTGTATTTGTGTATGCGTTTTTGGCCACTTCACAACTCGTTCCTGACCCCAAGGGATTCCATCCAAGTCCGTGGTCACTAAGGATTGGTTTTATGATATACTGGATTTACATATGGATTCTGTGAATGCAGTCCAAATAAATACTTATTAAGTTATTGTATTGGTGCACTATGTCTGTGTCTCTCTCTTAACCCCTATTTAAGGTCAAGAGAGAAAAAGATCAACCTCCTTGTATCTTTAAGATTACTTATACACCTGCAATCAGTTATCTTGTGAGTGCGTTTTAGCCTCCAGCGCAGTCTTGGTGTTTTTATGTACTGCACCATTATTTGTTATATTTTTTTTACATTTCTATTAAGAAGACTAAAGGGAGCTTCTTACAATCTATTGTACTATAAGGGTAAATTTTATTTAATATACTTTTACCCACTTTTGGGGCGCATGTGTGCTATATATACTTATTTTTGTACTAAGATGTGTTAGTATAAAAAAAAAAAAAATGATGCTGCAACAGAAAAAAATTATATACCTGTGAAATTCTGTTTATTTTGACCACCCTCAACATATTTGAGACAAATTTCTGTGCATCAGTTTCACAGAAGTAGAAAAAAATATTTCTGCAAAATTGAATATCAGCATTAGCATTGTGGCAAAGGTAGAAATCAAAGCGTAAAAGTTGAAAGTTAAGGGGGATGTTAAAGAGATAAAAAAAAAAAGAATTAAAAAAAAATAGAAGATCAAAGATCAGAAATTAAATTTTTATATTTATATGATCTACCGTTAGACATTCATCAGCTACTCGGATAAATATAATTTGAAGTCTGGGAATAACTAGGAAGCAACAGGTTAACCACCTTCACATATTCATATGTGGCAGTTTTATAGTGAATAGCTTATTACCTGATTCTAAGGCACCAGACTAAAGTAATATTACAGAATGCCAGTACGCAGTCTTTTGTTTTCCCAGTAATTATTGCTGCTAAGTCCTTTGCTTCACTGAGTCTGATTTACAATAAAACAGTGGAATTTAAAGTTAGTCATGTTCACCAGCTGGAACCCAGTAATCCGCGATAACAGGCCCATTGAAGCACAAAGTGCATGGATCCTGCTGGCAACATGTGAGAATTTGGAAGCCCAGATAGACCAAGAATCCCTGTGGTTATTTTAGACAACACAATCCAGCTAAAAGGCAATATTCATAAGAATTTTATTCGGTGTTTAGAAAAATGCATTAAATGCTAGTGTGCTTAATAAAAACATATCGGTTGTATTATTTAAAATAGATATAGCTCTTAAGGATTTAAACTAAAAGTCCTGTAATATTTCCACTGGAGAACCTTAAACATCCAGGGCTAATCATTAAACAACGTATTTTGACAGAATGAACAAAATACAGTGAAATTGACCGAATTCGATCACATTGGCAATTCACAGATGTACTGAAGCCAAATGTGGTCCGGATTCAGTCAGTCTGATCGGTTCTGTAAAATTCGTTAGAATGCATTTGTAAAATCACTAATATCCACATCTGAACCAATATACTGCGCAGGAATCAGAATTTTATCAATGAGCGCATGGTGACCGATGATAAACCAAATGCATCTGGTTTTTGCATAAGTGAATGAGAATATGAAAAACTAGCACAAGCAGCCAGCAGACAAATAGTTAAAAACCCGTGGCAGTGTGATGGTTAATTATATGGCGACTGGCCAGCACTTGCCGATCAGCCTATATATGCAAAAAGTAAAAACAAATTAAAATAAACAAAGAAATATCCAATTGGAATAAATAAGACCACCATATCACTATAATGGAGATTGTAAACCTCCATATGATCCACCTGCCTCGTGTCTACTAAGTGTCTAAACCAAAATATATCTATGGATAGGGCAAATCTACCCGTTCCATAGACTAAACACCTTTATTGACACTCCAGCAGTGTCATATGGGGCTTAACCCCTATTACTAGAATATCGAAGAAAAAATAATAAATTCACATATCTGAAGAAACACTCCAGATGTGTGAATAGTAACTGGAAATTAGGTTGAATGAAATAATATCAATAAAAAATGTTTGTGAATTTACCAGAAAAAAGTAAAAAAACGATCAATACATAATTCTCTACAGCTTAATAGCTGTACCTCCCTGATGTCTATGTTAATTAATGTCAGATCAGACTCCTGACTTTAATGTTATATTCAGTGTCAATGTCTGAAAAACATGAAAATACAAATATCATATACAGCAATTCTAATCTAACACAGCATTTACATCAAAGTATCAAATGTATGGCAAGCTAGCAACAAAATCTAATGTGATGCTGCTGCCTAATTACTCAGATAGTGCTGTGTTACTCCTGTAACTATGAGGGGTGAAAATAACCTGTTAAATACTATTCAAAAAACTTGCCACTTGTGTAACTGTATATGGGATTACGTTCGTTATATAGATACCCAACAGATACATACTGTCAAGTCCGCTAGAATAAACAGTAGAAATAGCAACATTGCTGTTAAAAAAAGAGAATTGACGGAATGATCGTGGCTGCCTGTGATACTAGATATAAAACCAGGTATACATGAATTCACTACCCCGTTCGTACAAGGAAAGAATATGCAGGAGGAAAAGAAAAAGAACAAATTAATACGTGCTAATGTGCAGGACCATACTTAGAATGTTGGTCCCTGCACATGGTGACAGTGTGCCCTGTGAAGTGAGGAAAAGAAAAGAAAACCCAACGCGCGTTTCGGTGCCACTAACGTGCACCTTCGTCAGGGGCTGAAAAGCGAAGGTGCACGTTAGTGAGAAGCACGCAAACGCCTCTAGCCGCTGTCAATGAGACAGCCACTAGAGGATTTGGAGGCTGGATTAACCCTTACATAAACATAGCAGTTTCTCTGAAACTGCTATGTTTATAAAAAAAATGACTTAATCCTAGCTGGACCTGGCACCTAGACCCCTCATTAAGCTGAAGTGGTCTGGGTGCCTAGAGTGGCCCTTTAATGTCAGCCAGTGCACACAAGTTTTGTTCCCATACATCCCTCTTAAGCTTCCAAACTTAAAGGGACACTATAGTCACCAGAACAACTACAGCTTATTTATTCTGGTAAGTAGAATCATTCCATTCAGGCTTTTTGCAGTAAACACTGTATTTTCAGAGTAAATAACTTCACTGGCCGCTCCTTAGATGCCTGCTAGAGGTGCTTCCTGGGGCAGTACTGCCTAGTGTGCAGCACTGTCATTCAGTGTTTCCACCCTTTGCATGCAGACACTGAACGTTCCTCATAGAGATGCATTGATTCAATTTATCTTTATGAGGGGATGCTGATTGGCCAGGGTTATGATGGACTTGTGCTGGCTCTGCCCCTGATCTGCCTAGTTGACAGTCTCAGCCAATCCTATGGGGAAGTATTGTAATTTGCTCAGACCACCACTTCTGAGCCAGCACCTGCAGAATTGAATACAAGTAATATTTTACTATATTTAGGGAGGCAAGAAGGGGCCAGGGTGGTGGTTTTAACATAATAGGGTCAGAAATACATGATTGTGTTCCTGACTCTATAGTGCTCCTTTAAGCAAGAGTATGGGAAGAGTAGTTAAGGTTGCCACCTTTCTTTGAAAAAAATACCAGCCTTAATCATTTGTATAATTAATTAGTTATGCATGATATCACATGATGTAAATCACAAGGAGTGACAGCAGAGAAAATTCTGTAAAATCACCAACAAGCTACTCACAGTTTGATTCTGCTGTATAGATGGATTGCTCCCAGTGTCTCCCTGTCTCCCAGTGTCTCAGTCTCGCAAGTCACCCAGTGTCTCAGTGTCCCCATGTCGCCCAGTCCCCTAGTCTCCCTGTGTCTGTGTCCCTATTTCTCCCAGTGTCCCAATGTCTCAGTGTGTCCCCATGTCACTAGGATACTGGGGACACTGAGAGACCCGGGGACACAGAGACATTTAGGGAAACTGGGAGAAATGGGGACACAGATACTAGGGACACAGACACTGGGAGACATGGGGACACTGAAACATTTGGGAACACTAAGACATTAGGGACACAGACATGGGAACACAGACACTGGGAGACTAGGGGACACTGGCTGGGAGACAGACACTTGGGCACACTGGGAGACATGGGGACAGTTGTGGACAAAGACATGTGGACACTGGGACATATAGGGACACTGGGAGACATGGGGACACCAGGCACACTGAGACACTAGGAACACAGGCACTGGGAGACATGGAGACACTGAAACATTTGTGGACACTAAGACACTAGGGACACAGACACTGGGAGACTAGGGGAAACTGTGAGACTAGGGGATACTGGGAGACTAGGGGACACTGGCTGGGAGACAGACACTTGGGGAGACATGGGGACAGTTGTGGACATAGACATGGGGACACTGGGACACATGGGGACACTAGGCACACTGAGAGACATGGGACACAGACACTAGGGACACTGGCTGGGGGACATGGTGTCTCCGTGTCCCAATGTCTCCCAATGTCCCTATGTCTCACAGCGTCCCCATGTGTCTCAGCATCCCCATGTCTCCCAGTGTCTCAGTGTCCCCAAGTTTTCCAGTGTCCCCAGGTTTCCCAGTGTCTGTGTTCCCATGTGTCCTAGTGTCTCAGTGTCCCCTAGTGTCTGTGTCCCCATGTGTCCCCTAGTGTCTGTGTCCCCATATGTCCCCAAGTGTCTGTGTCCCATGTTTTCCAGTGTCCCCAAGTGTCTCAGTGTTCCCAGGTCTCCCAGTATCTGTGTCCTAGTGTTTCAATGTCCCCTAGTGTATGTGTCATCATGTGTCCCCTAGTGTCTGTGTCCCCTAGTGTCTCAGTGTCCCCATATGTCCCCTAGTGTCTCAGTGTCCCCATGTGTCCCTGTTGCCTTTACCCCATCCATCACTTACCTGAGCTGTAGAGCTGCTGTCTGGACTCTCTGTGCTGTGTAGCTGCTACCCCGTGGATGAGTGAGTAGTAGAGAGAGGCAGGGATATTCTGTAACTTCCTATCTCTGCCTCTCTCCACACACCGGTGCTGGTATTGCAGAGTAATTTCCATTTATTCTGAGAAAATTACCTGCATTTGTATTGCCAGTATTACTGAAATACCAGCACAGCCAGGCAGCCTCAAATACCATCTGTGCCATTAAAATACCAGTCAGGTGGCAAACCTAAGAGTAGTGTGTAAAAAAAAAAATGGGCCTATTCCATGGGCCTGGGCCTGGAGCTGCAGCTCCATCAGCCCCTATGTTAATCCGGCCCTGGTTATAGGTGATTTACAATGTTTTTTTAATTATGCAGTTACCAGAAAAGTGACAATTCCTCTTTAAAGGACCACTCTAGGCACCCAGACCACTTCAGCTTAATGAAGTGGTCTGGGTGCCAGGTCCTTCTAGGGTTAACCCATTTTTTCATAATTATAGCAGTTTCAGAGAAACTGCTATAATTATGAATGGGTTAAGCCTTCCCCCTAATCCTCTAGTAGCTGTCTCATTGACAGCCACTAGAGGCGCTTGCGTGCTTCTCACTGTGAAAATCACAGTGAGAGCACGCCAGCGTCCATAGGAAAGCATTGTAAATGCTTTCCTATGAGACCGGCTGAATGCGCGCGCAGCTCTTGCCGCGCGTGCGCATTCAGCTGGCGGGGCGGATCGGAGGCGGAGAGGAGGAGGAGAGCTCTCCGCCCAGCGCTGGAAAAAGGTAAGTTATTACCCCTTTCCCCCTTCCAGAGCCGGGCGGGAGGGGGACCCTGAGGGTGGGGGCACCCTCAGGGCACTATAGTGCCAGGAAAACGAGTATGTTTTCCTGGCACTATAGTGGTCCTTTAAAGGCTTTAAAAAAAGTACTTCTTCATCAAAGGATAAACTTACACACATTTCCAAGTTACTAGCTGAAATTACCCTCTCGGATTCTTAAAAGGTATGAATGGTTTGGCAAGCCACCCACAAGCCTAATCCATGCCACGTGATATTGCTTAACAATTTTAGCATTTTGAAAGAAAGGAAAAAACAAGTTAAAAAACTGCTTCACTTCCCAATTTCTCCCCCTTCCCCAGCTTTTTATTAGAAGAAAACCTGATGGCTGTTTGACATTCTGATAAACAAGGAGAACAATGAAACTTCTCAATTAGGGACCACTGTTGTATGCTCGCCCTTTGTAGTTGGGTACCTCGGTGGGCCTCGTGCCTGTACTATGTGGGTTTATTATTGTGTGTTGGCATCTGTAGTGTGGAGCTGGTATACCTTTTTACCTTTATTTTTGTTGTGCCTTGTAACCTGTGGGACATTTCTTTGTGGAGTCTGTTGGAGTTCAACGTCTCCATTACCACTGCGAAATTTGGGGGGCTTTTGGATTTCAAGTTTTTTGCTATGCTACTTCTAGCGGCTATAAGTATCTGGATAATGCTCGACCTTTCTGGTTTAGTTGAGTTGTCTGGTAACATATGTAAAAGGTATGTTTCGATTTGAAATGGCATTGAGACTTCCACCAGGCTGTGTATTAATGACTGTATTGACTCCCAGAATTGTTTAAGTATGCTACAGTGCCAAAACACGTGCCCCATGGTCCCCACCTTATTCTCACATCTCCAACACTTAAAAGAGACATTTGTAAACATGTGGGCCAACCTGTGTGGGGTCAGATACCATTTCATCTAAACTTTGTAGGATGCTTCTAGGTGGTCAAGGCAATGTGTTGCCTGTTTTGTATGTCTCATTTCCCCAATGATTTTCCTGAAATTGTGTGTTTAGTTCCTGTTCCCATTTAACCATGTATGGGAACTTTACTGGTTTTATAGTGTCCAGAATTGCCCTATAATACAGTGCCAGAGGCTTTATGCCTTTGCCTGTTCCTTTACATAATTTGTCGAAGCCCCCTTTTAACCGTTGCTCTGGGGGTCATTTAGACAGAATATGTTTGATCCTCAGGTATGTGAAGATTTCGCTCATGGTAAGTTATATTTACTTTGTACGTCTGGGAAAGGCATCAATCTTGAGTCATGATATATATCTGCCACTCTCTCTATCCCCTAATGTGCCCAGGTGCTAAGTGAGATATCAGGTGTGTAATATTGTAAGCAATGTATCGGGGCATAGAAAATTAGGTGTTCTGGTTTCAGGAGTCTCTCTGACCATTTGTGCCATAAACTGCATGTTAGTTTGGTCATATGGAAAGGATTTATGTTAGGGGGGTGGGGATGTGTCGGGACCCACATTACAGTCAGGAACGAGTGTGGTAGAATTATTGAGTTTTCCAACAATACCCACAAGGGTTTTTCGGAGACACCGAGTAACGCCCTTCGGTTCCACTGGGGAGGTTGCTATATGATACCTGTATACGTCTTGGACTCCCAGTCCGCCCTCGTAAAGGCGATAGTATGGATTTGAGGCAGCTATTTGGGGTGGTTTGAGCTTTCATATGTGTGCGTTAATTAGTTTCTGGAATCTGCTCAATAGTGGTTTCGGCAGCTCTAGGTGTAGGTGTAGAATAGGAACAGGTATGCGTCTGTAGCCGAGGGTAGAAGGAATTTGAACAAACTCAGTAGGTGCTGTGGGATTTCTTCTTGGGAGACCTTTTCCGGTACCCCTTGCACCCTAATGTTATTCCGTCGTGAGCGGTCTTCCATGTAGGCGAATTTGCCCACCAAACTGAGGTGCTCTGTTTCCATTTTAGCCATTCTGTCAATCATTTCATTGTGAGCCCGTGGAGGTCTTTGTCTTCTGTTATTATTTTGTAATCTTCCCTTAAAGATGAACACAAGTTCTGGAGCATGTCTGCCAGCCTCCTTTCTGTAACCGGGGGATCATCCCCTTGCAGGCTTACTGACTCCACATCCAAACCCTCCTCAGACAGTCTTTTTTTTTTTTTTTTGATATTTTACTTGTTTTGTTTAAATATATTTTTTTATTTCATTATAAGTTATACACACATATATATTACAAACATACTGTTCATATTAATAGACCTCATCCATCAAATTTACAAAATTTTCCATCAAAATTCATCGAAGCTCATAAGTAGGTCTAATATATCAGAAAAATATAAATACCTATATCACAAACATAACACACACTGACAAAACATTGCACCAGTCATCTTGGAATTTATCCTTTAACAAAAAAAAAGGGAAACCGTTTCTTTCATGTTTTGAGGAAGCTCAATCAATACCATAGAGGGAAAGACCCAACATGTTCACTCAAGGTCAATCAAGTTATCTATCCATTCAGCTATCCAACTACTATTCTGCTTAGCCTTTTTATTAATCCACTTAAGACCCTGTTCCATTTTACACTGGAATACAATTTGTTTTTTTACCATTGGCCAGCTAACCGAATCCGCCGATTTCCAATTTTTGGCCAATAATAATTTTGTGGCCGAAAAGAAGTGAGTTAACATTAAGGCCTGTCTAGGATGTAAAACCGGCCAATCCAGATGTAATATTGCTATTTCAATTCTTTTGTCTATTTTAAATTTCCCTAGGGCCTGAAGTTTTTCATAAGTTATATTCCATAATTTAGCTGCTACTTCATATTTCCACCACATATGAATATAGTCTGCCTCATCTTTGAGACACCTCCAGCATTTGGTATCTTTATTACAGGAGAACTTGGAGATTTTTTTGGGATCCAGATACCAAAAATGCATCACTTTATATTGGTTCTTCTTTATATTCAAACAATGTATGTCTCGGCTAAATCTTTTTATTGCCACCAGCCAATCTTTCTCATTTATATGAATCTGTAAAAGTTCAGACCATTTATTCATATACTTATTTTTATTTTCCACCCCCGCTGTTAGGCATGATATTAAAGCATATGATTTGGCCATTACCTTGGGAGTTATATGTTCACAGAATATTTTATTGAGAGTAACCGTTAATTGATCGTCTCCTTTCATAACAGAGTTTTGTAAAAAGCCTTTTACCCTAAGGTAAGAAAACACCTCTTTACAAGGGAGATCATATTCTAAATTCAAATTTGGAAAGGTTTTAATCCTCCCATCTTTATATAGATCTGAGACCTTCACAATGCCACATCTCTTCCAGGTAATTAATGATAGGTCATGTAAGTTATTCTCCAAAGCTTTAATACTAAGGCTATTAATAATTTTATTCTTTCCTCCCATCTTGCTCTTAATCATAGACCAAAACTTTCCAAGATGCCCAATAATGAAACAATTCTCTCCTATTTCCCTCCAGTTTGGATAATGAATATTCCATAATAGGCAGGAGAGATCTTTTATCTGAGTTTGTTGGCTCTCAATATGATACCAGCTTTCATCAACGGCCTCTGGAATTTGCATTAAATAAATGTGGCTGATCATATTTGCATAATAATAATTTTTCAAAATAGGCATACCCAACCCCCCCTCCTTTACTTTATATGCCATATGACGGTAGTTTGTTCGCGGTTTTTTACCA